AGGACATGGAAGCAACCTAGATGCCCATCAGCAGACGAATGGATAAGGAAGCTGTGGCACGTATACAGCATGGAATATTACTCAGCCATTAAAAAGAATTCATTTGAATCAGTTCTAATGAGATGGATGAAACTGGAGCCCATTATACAGAGTGAAATAAGCCAGAAAGATAAAGAGCATTACAGTATACTAACACATATACATGGAATTTAGAAAGATGGTAATTATAACCTTATATGCAAAACAGAAAAAGAGACACAGATGTACAGAACAGACTTTTGGACTCTGTGGAAGAAGGCGAGGGTGGGATGTTTCGAGAGAACAGCATCAAAACATGTATATTATCTAGGGTGAAACAGATCACCAGCCCAGGTTGGTTGCATGAGACAAGTGCTTGGACCTGGTGCACTGGGAAGACCCAGAGGGATCAGGTATAGAGGGAAGTGGGAGGGGGCATCGGGATGGGGAACACATGTAAATCCATGGCTGATTCATGTCAATGTATGGCAAAAACCACTACAATATTGTAATGTAATTAGCTTCCATCTAATAAAAACAAATGAAAAATAAATAAATAAATAAAATAAAATAAATGACAATAAAGTATACACTGTACCCAAAGATAAATGCTGAGAAATATAATATAATTGCTTTCTGGAAATCAATTTTTCAATTTAGATGCCACTGGATTTGAAGGAGAATAAAAATTTCAGAATGATTGCTTATATCATTCTTTGGAATAGAATTTTATGCTAGGACTAGGAGACACTGGTGCAGCCATGTGACTCTTGTTGGTTAATAGGGGTTGATTGCCTTAGAAAGCTGTAAGCTTTTCAAATAATAAAATAATAATAATGATTCTGCAAAACAGTTGGTGATATCTTCTTGCTTAACTCATAATCAATGTTTATGTGAAAATATCATGAATCTATGAACAAGCATTTCTGTCAGGTCCACTTAATAGTTAATAACAAAGGTATTGGAATCAAATGTATTACTGGTCCCATCATGTTCTAATGGTATAAACTGGCAACCTGTTTAACTTAGCTTTTAAATTTGAGATATTAAACTTTATCCCATATATTTGATTCTGAGAATAAAATCTTAGTGCCTTGAACTCAGTAAACACATTATAAAAGGCATTGATATTAGTAATTAGTAGCAATATTTAAACAGTTTGTCATATTTCTAAATTTTCCATTGTTATTACCTCTTGATCCACTCTATAATGGTATAGTAGGAGAATATGAATTGAGAGACCATAAATAACAAAGGCTGCCAGACTTACTTGGTAGTAAAACTTTCTTGGAAAAATACGTGCATCAATGGTTGATTTTTCAAAGAGAGATAGCAATAGAATCTGTTTTGTTCTTGAGAAATGATAGATATATTTATATAGATCCAAAGGTTGCCAAGTTCTTAATAAATTCTGGGTTGTTTATGCTGTAGGAAATAATCAAAGATTATTTATTCTAACTTTTATGAATTTCCTTCTGAAACAGTAATAAGTTAACATGGGGACCTGAAAAAGAAAAATAAAATTTTATTCCAATAGCAACAAAGAACCAAGCCAGGGGTAAAAAGAATGATCATACCGAATATATGATTACTTACAACTGGCAGTTTATATTGAACACCTTTTAACTAGGTCATCTATAAATAAGAAGGACAAATGAAAATGACATTGGTTGGTTAAACTCTTGTAGGCACAAAGACTATTTTTTAAAACATTGAAATTTAGGTAGAGACTTTTGGTCAATATCCTTACATCTGTTTTAAGCTTTTCACATCATATCTATTCCAAACAAAAAACAATGACTTATTAAATGAAAGAAAGTAACTATATTGAATACATAGTGATAGCTTAATAAAAAATCATTTTAAAATGTTGGTCTTTGGAATTTTTATAGGAGAGAAACTATTGTCCAAAGTATGTTTAAAATTGCTGTTGTTTAGTTAGTATTACATTACTTTTCAGGAATACAAAAGTTATCCAAGAAGAAGATGGAAATAAGTAGGAAAATGAATATGATAACATTTAATGTTGACTGAATGTAAATTTTGAAAAATGTATTTTCATTGAACTAATTATAATGCTATAAGGCAATTTCCAGTTTCAACTTTGATATGTAAAGAGCTTGGGCTTTCCAGGTAGTGCTTGTGCTAAAGAACTTGCTTACCAATGTAGGAGACATAAAAGATGCCCTGGCAGAGGGCATGGCAACCCACTCTAGCATTCCTGCCTGGAGAATCCCATGGACAGAGAAGGCTGGTGAGGTACAGCCCATAGGGTCGCAAAGAGTCAGATATGACTGAAGCAACTTAGCACATATGCACACTTGTAACAAACTTGCTCCTTTACAGGAAAAATCTGAACAAGCTGAAAATAAATTGCTTTCCTTGGACCTACCAGAGAACTAAACTTGCAGGGCAAACTGATGGACCAAAATCGGGAGAGATAGACAAAATCAGTCACGGGTGACCTTTGCATGTTTGGAACAGAAGCCTCTAGAGTCATAAACAGGTATACATGCTTACATGGTACTTCTGATAAAATATTGGAGGCTATGGACTATGCTTAGGGTAAAAAAAAAAAAAAAAAAAAAAAAAAAAAAAAAAAACCTCTTGAAGATCCTCATTTCTGGAAAGGATCCCACAATTTCATGAACTTTACCACCATGAAGGCTACTAGGTTCTCATGGTAAAGATCTAGGAAGATCTGGCTCTGGCTGGGGATAAAAAGAGTAAACATTGTGAAATACTCCAGATTCTTCTCCAGAACAAAGGCTTACTCTCAAAAGGAAAAGACTACCAAAGTCTTATTTCTGATGGAGGAAGAATATTTCTTCCACTTCAATACCATCTACAGCCTTCCTGTCTTACCCAGGAGGTTAATGGAGAAGCTATACCACTTGAGAAACATTTGTGAAGTCACAGACCTGAGATGCAGACTCTCTAAGAGACTAAAATATAAATATAAGATTATCAAATGCTTCTACTCTCCCTTATCTTACCACCACAACCAATAGTACTGGAATTGCTCCAGTAAAATAGTATTGGATTAGAACCAAAGGAATTGCAAGATAGACTTTCCTAAGAGGAGTACTTCTGCAAGCCCAGTGTCAAGAGGGTAGGTAAAAACAAGGACAATAATGAAATTAAAAACCTTTGCAGCCTACAAATACAATAATATTAAACACAGTACAAAACTAGGCAGATTTATATAAATCCTTATGAAAGAGGCATGTCTACATCATTTCCTATACCCAATACAATATGTCCAACTTTAAGCAAAAAGTAAAAAGGCAAGCAAAAACAATCTGTAGAGACAAGAAAATCACCAGAACTAAACTCAGATATGACACAGTTATTAAAATTATTAGGGAATTTAAAGTAACTATGGTTAATATTTTAAGGAATCTTATAGGAAAAAAGTAGACAATATGCAAAAACAAATGGGTATATAAAACATGGAGATGCAAACTCAAAGAAAAATCAAAAGGGATTGACAGAAATCAAAAGCACTGTAACAGAAAAGAAGTATGCCTTTGTTGGATTGATGAGTAACCTGGATGTGGCTGGGGAAAGAACTGGTGAAAATTTATCAGTAGAAACATCCATAACTGCAAAACACAAAGAAATAATACAGATTCTTGGAGTTTCTTTAGTGTCACAAATAAATTTGTGGCTCAAAATAACAATGATAAGTGTATTGTAAAAAGGATGCAAAAGCCACCCTGAATGAACTCCCAATATCCAAAGTTGGAATAATTTGAGCAACAAAATAAAAGTTGTATTTATTTATAACCCAAAGTATAAATTAAATATCCATGGGTTCATACTGCTGTTAGTAAAGGATTCAATATAAATAAATAGAGGTGAATGAAAGAAATCTCTCATCTAGAATTCCAAATAATTTGTATAAGCACTATGCCCTCAAGGAAGTAGAGTGGTAACTCCCCAAGCCTGAAGGGCTGGCTGTGTAACCATGGAAAAGGAGGAGAAAAGGAGAAACTATGCTGGATAAACCTGAGGAACACCACCTCAGTCAAGTGATCAACATTAACGTCCTCAGTGATGTGTCATGTATAATGTATAATCTTGATAATTATGTGATGACAATGGTACTTCACCTCTGTTTATCTGATTAACCCTCTGTGAAATGCCATACTTGATTTTCCTTTCCTATTAACTCTTAACTGTCTTGAAAAATAAGTGTAACCACATAATTTTGCCAATGTGTTCAACCTAAAGGTAAATCTATGTCTAATGTGTCTTCATAGCATTGAATTACTCAAACATTTTCTGGAAAAAATTTCTTACAATGTATTGGATTTTAAAATATTTCTGCCTCATATTTTTGTTAGTTTTTGAAACTTAGTGATACAAAACAGCCAAGAATAAAGAAAACACTGAGGCTATTTGAACTGTAATCTGCTGATTTTATCACTTTCACAGAAAAAAATGAAATGTAAATGGTTTTCTTGAATTATTTTTCTTCCTGACACCACATAGATCTACATTGCTTTTTAGAGTGTTTGCAGATACCTCTCTGTTACTCTCAAGGCATAGATTTCTTAATAGAAGACTAGTATCCTTTGATGTCATCAAATACTAGCTGACCCTTCTGAAGTCCCTCAAGAAAGTAGCCCTTACCACTTATTCAGATTCCCTTGTCTTATTCCCATTGTCCCTTGTAACTTTTTGGCATTGCTGAGTCAAAATATGACTTCTAAAATTGTAGTGTGCCCTACTACTTTTATAATAATGCATATTATTCTAGAGCTTCTGGATATACAGGCTATATTAAGTACTTTAAGCCAAACTGGTAAAAGTTAATGATAATCACAAGTTATATTTTCCTTTATATCTTGAAGGAATCAACTATCTCTCTTCAAAGTTCTCTTTTTGTCACCCACTTTCTTATTCTCCTTTCCATTCAGGTGTAGCATTAAAATTCTCTTGATACTGCAGGGGCAATTCTTCACGAAGGGTACTACTCAAGTACCAATTTCACCTTGAAAATAAAAGAAAATATGTTGCTGTGCAACCAATTATCAATATTGACAGTACATTGCCAAGCAAGTCACTCACTATATGTACTAAGAAAATGATTCACTCTATCTCTAGTTAAACACCTGGAGGGAGGCCTACCAGCAAGCAATGGGAGAAGAGAAAATCATGCTTGGTAATCCCTAAGTGTGATTTTCCTTCCTTAATTACATTCCTTCCTACCAATTTTCCCAATAATAATGATGCAGGGTCGGGGGAAACCCTGAAATGCATAAAAGATGGTTTCTTTAAAAATAAATTATACTGAGGTCACTGGAGGGAGGGAAGTCTTTATTCCCACATGGATACATCCTTCTGAATTCCTCACAAAGTAATTAAATATATTACTACAGTCATATTTCTAGTTTAAATTCTTCTTCTAACAGTCCAATGTGTAAATGTATGTTTGTTTTAAAATGTTAAAAAGATAGGCCTTTAAAGTGCTGGGGAAAGATAAATATTTCACACTTCAAGGGATAAGTCTTGAATATGCAATTTCATGGCATTGATTTTCAGTAAATACAAATGTTGAGTCCACTAACTGAAATAGAATAAGCACAAGCAAACTGAGGTAGAGTAAAACAATTAACTAAGAGTAATGTGAATCAAAAATACTTAAAGACCAAATGTTCACTTGAGTTTAGCCATTGTTACTTTTTAACCCAATTTTTAACAAAGCATAATTTCAATATAACACTATTTTGTGGATCACAGAGTTTGAATTTTTTTTTTCTATTTCAGAGCTAGGGGAGCCTAGCTCTATCATTTCAGCCAAATGGCTTTCTCTCTCATTACCATCTACTTGCTACTTGCTATGTCTACATTATACTTTCACTAATATACATAATTTGGATGACTTATTCACCAATGTAGAATTTATTCATAGAATGAATTAGTCATAGCAATAAGACAGTACTTTATAATTTGTATACCCCTTGAACTCAAAACAATCAAGAGCAGGACAAGTTTACCATTTTGATATGTTATTTAAAAGAATGTCAAACCAAGCTCTAGCTTTTAAGTATTATGTGGTATGCTTGTGTCTATATGATAGCTACTATTTAAAATTGTCCTCTGCTGAACTATGACAGTATTATTCGATGGCACATGATTTATTTCTAAAAACAAATTTGGTATTGTAAATAGCATCTCAAATTGGTCCTGCATGACTAAAATAAGTATAGTCACTTATAATCAAAGAAAGTCACACTAGCAAAATAAATTCTACCAAAGTACTTTAAAACTTATTTCAAATTAGCAAATGATATCTCCCTCCTGCTGCTGCTGCTGCTAAGTCACTTCAGTTGAGTACGACTCTGTGCAACCATAGACGGCAGACCACCAGGCTCCCCCTCCCTGGGACTGTCCAGGCAAGAACACTGGAGTGGGTTGCCATTTCCTTCTCCTGTGCATGAAAGTGAAGCGTGAAAGTGAGGTCGCTCAGTCGTGTCCGACTCTTAGTGACTCCATGGACTGAAGCCTACCAGGCTCCTTTGTCCATGGGATTTTCCAGGCAAGAGGACTGGAGTGGGGTGCTATTGCCTTCTCCACTTTCCTCCCTAGCCCTCAGGAAGTAAATAACATACAATATGTCAATGTAATGTTGACATTTCCCAACTTAAATTGTATCATTTCAAGTATAATTAGCCAGGTAACTTAAAAAAAAATATTTTAATGCTAAACATGCTTTTATGTAGATAGAATCTATATAAACTTATGTAAAGTACAATCCTGTAAAGAACAGTGACAAAAAGGCATTTCTCATAATTACATGCATTCTAGTAAACTACAGCAAACACTAACATTTTGGGTTTCATCTGCCTTCTGTATGAGTTAAACAATGCAGATTAATTTCTATGCATACAGCTTTATGTAATTGAGAAATTTGAGAATTTACTTTCAAAAAACTGCAGCAATTGACAAAAGTCCAATATGTTGCAAAGCAATACTGATAAAGGGAAATTTTTATAGCTGGAATTAATATTCTGATGAACACATGTTCAAACATGCTAAGATGTTGTGTCTCACCCATAAGTATAGAAAATTATATACATACATCAATGAGATACATCTTTCATATATCATTTTGGCAAAATTAAACCAATATTCAGTGTCTTTAAGAGTGTAGGTGATAGGGAAAGAATAAGATAATTATGCAGGTAGTTGTAGAAGTCCCAATATGGGAGTATAGATAGAGAGGGAAAGCTAGGGAATGATACCTCAAGAAAACTACCTGAATTTCATGGGACAAAGCAGGTTTGCTTAATTACAAAGCTATAAGTAAAAGCATGAGATATGTCCCAGGTCACTGAGTAAAAGAAAAAAATGTTACCACCCTTTTGCTGATTTGAATAAGTGCTATGACAGTCCTGGTTTGGCCTCAGAGTCAGACACTCTCCAGCCTGATACAAAGGAAGAGATAGTGATGTAAGCCTGATGTCTACTAGAAGAATGAGGAAGAAGGTGGTCTTTTCCCCCTCCCCCACTTTCTTTTGATTTTAAAATTGTAGCACACTTAATCCTTGGGGCAGAGCTCCCTCACCTGCTTGCAACTCTCACAAGTGTTCTATGTTAATAAATTGACTTTATAACTTTGCCTCTCACTGAATTCCTCCTGTGCTAAGACGTAAAGAACCTGATCCTCAGTAAGTCCAGACAACAGGTGAATGATTCTAATTAAAAGACTGTAGGTTCAAGTCCCAATCAGAGTTTAGGTAGGGTTCAAGTCTTGGCACATGGATTCAAGTCCCAATCTGAGTTATACGGTTTAACAGGGAAAGAACAAACTCAAGCACACTTAGCTTGTAACTGCTTCCCATAGCTTATGTTATTCGATCCTGAAAACAATCCAGTGGGGTAGGTGTTAACATTATCCACATTAACATAATCCAGTATTCCTCCTTCCCATACAAAAGAGATAACTTGATGGAGAATGACCATGTAACTTCCTCAAAGTCACAACCAAACATCATCCAATAACGCGCATCTTTATTCTTAATAATAAGTGTTTGGGCAATAACAGAACATAGCATGCATGGAGAGTTCCTCTAACACAGCAAATAATTTGTGTCCTTTTCAGCTCAATTTAGTCGCTCAGTCATGTCCAACTCTTTGCCACCCCATGGACTGCAGCACGCCAGGCTTCCCTGTTCATCACCAACTCCTGGAGCTTGCTCAAACTCATGTCCATCGATTCAGTGATTCCATCCAACCATCTAATCCTCTGTCATCCCCATCTCCTCCTGCCTTCAATGTTGCCCAAAATCAGGGTCTTTTCTAATGGGTCAGGTCTTCAAATCTGGTGGCCAAAGTATTGGATTTCAGCTTAAGCATCGGTCCTTCCAATGAATATTCAGGACTGATTTCCATTAAGATTGGGTGGTTTGATCTCCTTGCAGTCCAAGGGACTCCCAAGAGCTTTTTCAAGACCACAGTTCAAAAGCATAAATTCTTCGGCACTCAGCTTTCTTTATAATCCAACTCTCACCTCCATTCATGACTACTGGAAAAGCCATAGTTTTGACTAGATGAACCTTTGTCAGCAAAGTGACGTCTCTGCTTCTTAATGTGCTGTCTAGGTTAGTCATAGCTTTTCTTTTCTTTTTTTTTTCATTTATTTTTATTAGTTGGAGGCTAATTACTTTACAATATTATAGTGGGTTTTGTCATACATTGACATGAATCAGCCATGGAGTTACATGTATTCCCCATCGCGATCCCCCCTCCAACCTCCCTCTCCACCCGATTCCTCTGGGTCTTCCCAGTGTACCAGGTCCGAGCACTTGTCTCATGCAACCAACCTGGGCTGGTGATCTGTTTCACCCTAGATAATATACATGTTTTGATGCTGTTCTCTCGAAACATCCCACCCTCGCCTTCTTCCACAGAGTCCAAAGGTCTGTTCTGTACATCTGTGTCTCTTTTTCTGTTTTGCATATAAGGTTATAATTACCATCTTTCTAAATTCCATGTATATGTGTTAGTATACTGTAATGCTCTTTATCTTTCTGGCTTATTTCACTCTGTATAATGGGCTCCAGTTTCATCCATCTCATTAGAACTGATTCAAATGAATTCTTTTTAATGGCTGAGTAATATTCCATGCTGTATGTATACCACAGCTTCCTTATCCATTCGCCTGCTGATGGGCATCTAGGTTGCTTCCATGTCCTGGCTATTATAAACAGTGCTGTGATGAACACTGGGGTACACGTGTCTCTTTCAGATCTGGTTTCCTCGGTGTGTATGACCAGCAGTGGGATTGCTGGGTCATATGGCAGTTTTATTTCCAGTGTTTTAAGAAATCTCCACACTGTTCTCCATAGCGGCTGTACTAGTTTGCATTCCCACCAACAGTGTAAGAGGGTTCCCTTTTCTCCACACCCTCTCCAGCATTTATTGCTTGGAGACTTTTGGATAGCAGCCATCATGACTGGCATCTAATGGTACCTCATTGTGATTTTGATTTGCATTTCTCTGATAATGAGTGATGTTGAGCATCTTTTCATGTGTTTGTTAGCCATCTGTATGTCTTCTTTGGGGAAATGTCTGTTTAGTTCTTTGGCCCATTTTCTGATTGGGTCATTTATTTTCTTCCAAGGAACAAATGACTTTTAATTGCATGGCTACATCCACCATCTGCAGTGATTTTGGAGCCCCCAAAAATAAAACTTGCAAATGTTTCTAATGTTTCCCCAACTATTTGCCATGAAGTGATGGGACTGGATGTCATGATCTTCATTTATTTTAATGTTGAGTTTCAAGCAAGCTTTTTCACTCTCCTCTTTCACTTTCATCAAAAGACTTTTTAGTTCTTCTTTGCTTTCTGTCCTAAGGGTTGTGTCATCTGTGTATCTGAGGTTATTGATATTTCTCCTGGCAATCTTGATTCCAGCTTATGCTTCATCCAACCTGCCATTTCACATGATGTACTCTGCATATTAGTTAAATAAGCAGGGTGACAAT